ATACAGGAGATGAGCGTGTGGGGGGGGGGGGGGTGTAATAGAATAGAATATTGTGGTACATGCATCAAATTTTAATTTTTTACGTTATTATAACTTCTTCAGGTAACTGCGTTTTTATTGTTGAATAAAGAAGAAACCTTAGTGCACGAGAACTAAATTACACAGCCTACCAGCGGGACAACAGATGTCAGATGCCATTAAAAGCCAGACTGATGGGGGTGGGGTGCATTTATTAGGGTTGATGTCAATGTCATGTAAATGGGGGTCTGTCATTACCGGCCCACACCAGGCCCCGTCAGTCTTTGAGAAACTCTGAGCATTGATTTCCAACAAACTAGTTTTGATTTTGTCATTTAAGATGATTTTTTTTTTTTTGCTGCAATATATCATATGGTGTTGTAGCTTCTGTCAGTCGTGGTGTCTGTGCTCACAGCGTCCCGTTTCACATTGATGTGATATTGAAGGTCAGAAGGTTAAAGAAAAATTCTTTGTTGCACAACCCTGCTCTTACCCGAGTGTCCACCACAAAGTAGAAGCAAAAAAAAAAAAAAAAATCAGTCGCTCCAACAAGTTGTGCAAAGTGGTCTTGTGTACGATCACCAAACATTCTTGTGCACTGACATCACTCTCCGACTGGTGAACAAACCGTAGGTGTGTATCTGTCACCTACGGCCTGGAGTGTGAGCATCATAGTTATTTTTTGTGCTAGAAATAAGGAAGCTGTGAACGTGGAACATTTAAACTTACAACTGACTGACTAACTAACTAACTAGTTTACAAGGGATTAGTTCAAAGAAGTTGTGTTGACTCGCACAGTCTCTTCACACACACAAAGACACACACACTCAGACTGTGTGCATGGAGCAAGTCCGACTCTCAATAGCTTTTGTTAAATCTCTTCAGCTTCTTTTTACCCCTGCTTCCTGTCCACAGGGAGCAGCGCTGCTCACGTGCACACGAGCGTGCATGTGTCTCATGGTTTTTGTGCAGGCCCTTATGTGTTAAACAAAAAAGATTTTAGCAGGGCTAAGGGACAGAATACCCTTTGGTTTGAAACCCAAAAGATTGCTAAAACCAATGCTACAGGTACACATAAGGACTAAGAACATAGGCACAGAAGGTATAATATCCTTCTGTATATAGATATATGCTTATATATATACTGTATATATAGATAAAAAAGAGCTAAAACTTTTCAAAATGTTTCAAGTTACAAAAAACCCCCCAAAGCTAGCCAAAATCGCTAAAGATTAGTTCGGAAAAAACATGTGATATTTGTAGTTGATTGAACAAGATTTGGCAAAAAATAAGTTATAAGTTATATATATAAATAGCTAGCTAATTCCCTTATTCGTCCCACAGTGGGCAAGATCACAGTCTTCTATTCAGAGTCTTTGCAACCCACCCAGGCTGCCACAGGAGGCGCCATTAGGAATATGTGGTTCCTCTGGGGCTCGAACCCAGGACCTTACTCGTGTAAAGCAGATGTGTAAAGTGTGTAAAACAAAGTGCTTGTATCGTACCAGAATCTAACAGTAAATGTTGCTCCTGTCTTTGTACTGCCAAACTCCTGACACTGTTAACCTACTTGATTACAGTAAACTACCAATGAGGACAATGAGACGCTCAAACGAAGACACTCGCTGACTGGTGTGCTGTTGGCTGTGGGTCCCTGGATTGACACGTGTGAGTATTCAAATGAAGTAGCCAGCCCAATACCAATATTTGAATTGGTAGAGGTGCATCTATCTGTCTATCTATCCATCCAGCTAGCTAGCTAGCTAGCTATCAGGGTTCTGTCTCTGGCTACTACTCAGTTTTGAAGCTAGGAATGAATGTAATGAATGTTGTGCTGCAAAGGTAAGATACAGTAGTTCCTCCTCGTTATTTCCCATTACTCCTGCTGCTCCTCCTCATTTTGACTGTTCTGTTAACGTTTTTTTTTATAACTTATGGTTTGTGCCGATACACGACATCAACCACGACCTTAGATGAATGTCTGATGTTAATGAGTAGAACCTGATATGTATGCTCAGTTAGAGTTAGCTACAGATCAGGATGTGTAAAAACAAAGGACGATTATATGTGTGTTTACGTGTGTGTGTGTGTCTGCCTCTCACCTCATTTCCATGCATGTTGCCCACATATTTAAATTCGGGGATTCCAAGTGTGTGTTGTCGAGGCCTGAGGCCCAGGGCTAAGACCCACAGCTGCTGACCTGATGGAGGAAATACACACATACACACACACACACACACTTGTAACAAACATATTACAGGTCCTACTGTAACAAATTTATCTTCGGTGAGTGTTGCGATGGAAAGTGACGATTATCTTTCCGAAAGCTGGTTCACATCATACTGAAACCGCTAACTGTTCGTTTAACAAGTATTAAGGCTGTACTGAGTCACCTTCTGTGTGTGACAGAGGCTACTTATGTCTAGCTCTTCACAAACATAAAAGCCCAAACGAACACTTGAAGATTTTAGAGCTAGCTAAAGTAAAGAAAATATGGCTCCACTCGTGTTGGCTTTGTCTTTGGTCGTTGTTAGCTATCCCTTAAGTAAAATCGACCGATGAATGAAATAACTTAAAAATTAAGTGAGTATTTTTTTTACTCACTTAATACTATACTCTGGATTAGATTGTTGCAGGGCTAATTATAAAATAATCCCTTGGCCGATGTCGATGTTTAAGGCCTTTTCTGTATTATTATTATTATTATTGTCTCTCTCAACTCACGTTCAGTATATAATATATAAAAACCACAATGAACATATACGAAAACCATGTGCAATAAGCCCATAACAGATACTGTTAAGTAAATATATATAAATGTGTATATGTAAATATAGTATGAACACACGCAGACATATAGATACATATAAGATTTTATTCCTATAGTTGTATTTGATATTTATTTATATATGTATTATATATTTATATTCATGTCTTACATATTTGATATATATTTTTTCTCTTAATGAGTGACATTTATTTTATATATTTATATTTGAACTCAAATTATATTCATGAAAGATTATGTGAGGTGTTTTAGTCATGATTTTAAAAAGAATCATAATTAGTTGAAGAAACATTTTTATCAGTCATTTTTCAAATTGAATTACTAGACATTTCAGTCGACCCCATTTGAATTCCAGACGACCCCACGTGGGGACCCGACCCCAAGGTTGAAAAACAGTGGACTGGGTCATTTCTGACCTAAAATTGAAAAAAAAAAATTCTTGGTAGATTAAGTGTATCTTTTAAAAAATATTCTTTTATAGTAGAAAAATAAGTTTATAACAATAATTGCTTCTTTGAGATCACCAGTGACTAAAGTGGATCACACACAGTCACAGTCACCGCTGACTGAGGACAGTGTCAGGTGTCACAGTCACCACGGCAACATTGAACCTGTCTGGGTGTGTGTGTCTGATCATATGGCACAGCAGAGCCCATATGTCACTTTAATCCAGAATAGTTCAATCTGGCTAATCACACACACACACACACACTAATCTGAGCTAATCCAGGACACCATCCGGCATGTACTGTATATGCTGTGTGTTAGTGTGAGTGTGTGTGTTAGTGTGTGTGTGTGTCACAGACGTGCTCAGACCTGCTCCTCTCTCATTCATTCAGTAACTTCTGTCTGACGTACAGTAACTGCGTGTCTCTGTCACCCACTGCAGTAAAAAGCTCCCTACCATAACCATGTCGGCTGTGAAGTTAGTGTGACGTAACTTACCCTCCAGGTATTTTAAAGGTCACGTCTCAGGTTTTTCGAGGAGTATGCTAACTGCTGCTTCTACTTTTACTATCCCTGTACCGATATCTAAAGGTAAAATCAATGATTATAACTGTTGATCCTCTCATACCTTTGTCACTTAGTTTAAATGTGTTACTTTGTGACTTCACTGTTTAACTTCTAGATTTACCTCAGTGACTCAAAGTAGCCAGAGGAGACAGTAGTGAACCAGCAGCTTTTTTGACCTTGTGAGGTTAAAGAACCTCCGTTTTTTTTAATGGACTCAGGTGTGGGAGAGTGAGAGGTTTAAAGACTCCTGACACATCTTGGCACCATAGATTTGAGCTGATGTAGATGATCTATAGTAGGGTTGTCCGATATTACCTTGATGCCGATATTGTCCAAACACATAATTTCCGATATCTACCAGTATCAATATAGCGGGTCAGCGATGGCCTGGTTGTTAAGAATGGTAAGCGCCACATGCTGATGGGTTCAAACAGTACTTCTCAAATAGTGGGGTGGGGGTGGGGAGGGGCTTCCAATGGAATATGGCCTGCTGGACATAAGTACCACAGCTGTAATGCTTGAATGATAATAAGCCTCCAGTCACTAGGTGGCAGCAACTCATGCAGTGGTTTGTACAGACAAAAAATATACCTGTTTTCAGGTTCTCAATAGAATTTCAATTTGCAGTAGCGTTAAAACATTTCTGTTCCCAAGAGGGTGGGGGGGGGGCATGACAGAAAATAACTGATAACCACTGGGTTGAATGCAGTGGTGTGCTGTGCATCAGTGAAAAACTGATAACGATTCTTACATAATTATGCTTATTTCGAGCTGATCATATCGGTCCGTCGATATTATCGGACATCCCTGTTCTTTAGCCAAACGAGCATTTATAAAACACTTCAGTATTTCACTTTTCATGCAAATGTAAATGTTTTGTATGTCACACAATACCTCTGACAGATTTCCCGATGCTGTACAGGTGTGTTATGTCAGGGTTGGACAGGCTGATCTGGGTGAGAATCTGTTCAATCTCTCGGTTGCTGTGGTATCGAAACTCCAGTGTTGAGGTGGAGGTGATGATGAGGATGAGGAGGAGGAGGAAGATAAGTGAGGGCATCACGACAGCACAGCCTACAGGGCAGACATCATCATTGTTAAGTGTAATGCTTTTTTAAAAAGATCAATGTTTGGCTAAAGTCTGGCTCGTTGTAAAGAAGGAACGTGAGATTTGAAGCAGTTAACGGGAATTTGGGAATCTGTGCCCACGGTTATGAGAAGGTGGAAAGAACTACGGAAACAAAAGGGGTTCTCGACCTAAGTCAGGGTTTGGCTCTAGAGGTGAATTTTCATCCTAAGTCGGAATTTATGTATGTTACATTTCACGAAATATGTAGGAAAATGGAAACTATTGCTTTTACATGGAATTAATTACAGCGAAAAGCAATGAAGAACACACGAAAAATGTTCAGTTGAATTCTTTATCATCGTCTACAATGACTTCTGCCTGTGAGCCATAATGAAGGGCACCAGAGAATGTAAACAGAGCCGTCTTCCGTGTCGGAATCCGAAAACAAGACTTTCTCAATAAATTTATACTCGTGTGGCGACGCAACGGGGAAAAACATTTTGCAAATAGCAAGCTAACCTAAACTTAAACAAAAGCTAAAATTTAGAGAAGATGCTAACAAATAGTCTTTTTGTACGTCATTGACTAAGCCAGGCGCGGACAAACGTTTTGACTCGTGGCCACAACTGTCCTAAAATGACCAGGGGGCGCTAGGTCAGGAGCAGATAGATGGAGCGTTCGTGTGAACTAAGATAAATGACATGGGAAAGTCATGCATAAAGGCTAAAATGCTAAGATGCTTTTATCATTTTCTATGCCATCTATTGGGGAAACGTGGGTATTGCAGGGAAAAGGCAGAAGTTTAATGATAATATAAATAAATTATATAATTTGAAAATGTTTGGCAGATCTGGATTAAAAAGCTGAACGGGCCGCATCCGGCCCCCAGCCCTTAGTTTGCCCACAAAGTGCTAGCCAAGTTTATTGAAGTTGTTAAACAGATTTAATTTGTCAGTCAGAGGTTTACACTATACCAAACAAACATTACTATTAGTTCAAATTGTTATTTTAATAATTCTATTAACCTCATTATGTCTTGTTAATGGACTATAATTATCATAATTATTTATCAACAACAGATAAACATTAAGATATATAAGGCATGGTGCTGAAAGATGGGAGAGAAAATACATTTATTTTAGAATACCAATAATCGCAACCGTATTCGTATCATGGCTGAAAACATATTAAGTAATATAAATAATCTCTAAGACCTAATATGTTTGTAAAGTTGTATCTATCACGTTAATTATGTTAAGTTTTCACTTAGCGTTCAACCAGAGGAATGTTCCAGTTAATCAATTATTGATCGTTAGGTTCGAATGACACGCTATGAAGCCAACGCTTCTCTGTGTTCGTACCTGTTCAGTGTCCGTTGGTGGTCCGTCCCGACGGATCCGAAAAACGCCGAAATTCCCCGAAGTCCAGCAACGAGAGAGACGAGAGTTGCAGTTTCTGTGACTGAGGAGAATTGACCGAGTTAGAGAGTTTTTACACTACAACAGGGAGTCCCGCGGGGGCGGGGCTAATGGTTGTGCGGTTTTGTGTGTGTGTTTCGTGTGCGCGCGTGCGTGTGCACACGTCTATGAATCATTCTGTTTGAACGAAACTGTTGAACTCGTTCACGTTCACACCAAACGGTTTGAGCTTTAATCTCGATGAATGCAATTTTTTTTTCAATTTTTCTTTTTAAGAATTCATGGGTTGACTTTATTCTTTTGTTTTATTAAAAAGTAAAAAGTACTACCAATGTACTTTAACAACAAAACACATGGCGTGTTTTTATATTGGCTCTCTTAGCTATTTTTTCAATTTTTTATTTATCAGACCAATCAGATGATTTTTATCAACATTTGATTGTTTTCATTCACATTTACCTCAGTGACACAAACTGACCACAGGAGGCAGCAGATGACCTGTATCCCTGTGTGCTAAAATGAATGATATCCTGGAAATGTTCTTGACTTTATTTGCTAAAGATTTTGTTCAGAATTTAAAAGCTATAAATACCACTACTACTACTACTACTGCTACTACTACTACTACTACTAATAATACTAATAACCTAGACACTATTGGCTGATAAACAACGTTTACAGTAATGTATATTTGAAGTGTTGTTGCGGATGTAGGTCCTGCAGGGAGGAGGCCTCACTGGGACCTTTGAGAAAGGTCATTAAGGTTCTTGAGTTTGGGATGTTCATGCACTCGAAGGTTCTTAGGGGGTTTGTGGGAGTGGTTTTAACAGGGGTAAAAAAAGGATGTTATTGTCCTAGGGGGATGCTCTAGGCACTGGGGAATCAAAGGATGTTCCAGATTCTTGAAGAAAGAATTTAGATACTCAGTAGTCTTAAGAATACTGAAATAAATGTAATTCAATATTCTGGAATCTGTAACCAACCTTAAATGAGAAGAAAAAAAATTGTAGTTGTTTTGGAGCCTTGAACAAGCATAGTTTTGAAATATAATAATATTATTATATATTCTTTAAAGAAACCAAAAGGAAAGCAAAACGTTTTCATTCAAAGTTAACAAATAGTAAAAAACAAAAAACATCACCAAATGGTTGAATCCAAAATAACTATCCATTGTTTGAACGAATAAAAATAATTAAAACGATTTATTTATTATTAAATTAAAATTACAACTTTTTGAATTCCCCATTTCGACAAAAATGAAAAGAAAAAAAAATTAAGAATGTTTTCACTGCCACTCTGTGACTCTGCTGATATGACGGATCCTTGGCGCCATCTGCTGCCGTTAGATATAAACTACATCACTGGCTACGAGGTCCAACAGTTGATGTGAAGTACTGGAGTTCGAGACAAGACTTAAGTCCCTGCACAGTTATGCAGCAGTAAACATGCAATTGAGCTCCATCTACTGTTCCTACACAGGAATTACTTCCAAATATTAACTTGATCTCTTGACCTTCATAAATTTTAATTGGTCTTCAGAATTTCTTAAGAAAAAGTTCCAAGTATTTTGCAATATATATATATATATATATTTTAGTTTTGCTGAGGGTCTAGACCAGGGCCCGCAAACAACCCACAACTGGACCATGAGTAGATGTCAATAATGATTTTGCCCTTGAGGTGGCGTTAATTGATCATTTAAGGATGAGGAAGGGTTGCTAGCTGTTTGCAAGGTAGAACTAAGTAGTATTTGTATTAAATGCATGTGTATATATGCATATATATATATATATATATATATAATATATATAACATGTATAACATGTTACGAACCTCAGTACTGACATGACAGTTCAGTAAAGTGCTGAGGATTGAAGGATCATTACTCAATAAGGATCATTATTATCATTTTCAAAATAAAACATCTTTTAGACTCTGTTCAGTTTGTATCAGTCTGAATGACCTGTTAATTTAAAATATTGCCAGATTATCTTAAAATAAAGAAAATAAATGAATATGGATGGATTTTCTTTGAAAATTAAGTACATTTTTTCACTTTGTCCCACTGCGGTCCGGTACCAAATGACCTATGGACTGGTACTGGTCCGCAGACCGGGGGTTGGGTACCTCTGATCTATACAGTCTTCCATTTACAACCAGCCCTTCAAGGTCAACTGTACTGCTGATGTGGCCCCGGTGAAAATGAGTTTGACACCCCTGGTTTAGGATCAGAGAATCCACGGTCTAAGGTTGATCAAAGATGCTGTAGAACCTAGTTCTAGTGTTCTAGACAGCATGAGAATGTAGGTTTGTTTAGGTATTGATGGACCTGAAGATGCTTCAGTCTGTCTTGAGGTCTTTAAAAGAGCTGAACAGGTGTTTGATTCTTACTGTTGACCACCAAAGGAGCAATTAGCATCTTGATCATTCCGTCAGTCAACTCTCGACATCAGTAGTTTGTGAAGTTGTTTTAATTCCTCATCGTGTACAATGTTGAAGTGGTGCCTTGTGGGGGCGTCCTTCTGACTGACAGCTCATTTAAAGGGACACGGTCAAGAAAATGAGAAGCAAAGCTCAGAAACAGGGACTTAATGAAGCCACCGCAAAAGACGGACAGTTACAACATCAGACCCCCCCAAACTCCCTGTGTGTCTTGGTGTGTATTTGAAAACTAATTTTCGACGACACAACAATGTGGAGACACGAGAGAGAGAGAGAGACTGAAAGTTGTTTAAAACTTTGAGAAAAGTTAAGATAAAAAGGTTGAAGTCGACGAAGAGGAAACGTTGGGACTTAGACGAACAGACAGACAGTCAGTCAGACGGACAGACAGACAGACAGACAGTCAGCCAGACGGACAGACAGACAGTCAGTCAGACAGACAGACAGTCAGACAGTCAGTCAGTCAGTCAGTCAGACAGACAGTCAGTCAGACAGACAGTCAGACAGACAGACAGACAGTCAGTCCGTCAGACAGACAGACAGACAGTCAGACAGTCAGACAGACAGACAGTCAGACAGACAGTCAGTCAGACAGACAGACAGCCAGTCAGACAGACAGCCAGTCAGTCAGACAGACAGCCAGTCAGACAGACAGACAGTCAGTCAGATGGACAGACAGTCAGTCAGACAGTCAGTCAGACAGACAGTCAGTCAGTCAGACAGACAGTCAGACAGACGGACAGACAGTCAGTCAGACGGACAGACAGACAGACAGTCAGACAGACAGACAGACGGACAGACAGTCAGACAGTCAGTCAGACAGTCAGACAGTCAGTCAGACAGACAGTCAGACAGACGGACAGACAGACAGACAGTCAGACAGTCAGTCAGACAGACGGACAGACAGTCAGTCAGACGGACAGACAGACAGACAGACAGATGATCAAACACGTGTTGTACGGTGCAGGACAAAAACGTATCTTCCCTCCAATTTTCTCAGGTCCCCCTGAGGTAATTGACACTTCCTTTAATATGACAGTTATTTATGGTCGCGGTCGACGACTTGGTTTTCTGACGTTGTCTTCGTTTGTTTGGTGACAGTCGCTGTTTCTTGTTCCTCATCGAGGTTTTGTCATTTTAAAGTTTCACACGGCAACCGTGTTTGGCAGAAACAAGAGAATTTAATTAAAGGCTATAGGAGGGGTATATATATATGACAATGGTGATGTGTGTGTGTGTGTGTGTGTGTGTGTGTATATGTGTGTGTGTGTGTGTGTGTGTGTGTGTGTTAGCTGTCAGCACAGTGTTTTATCTGCACTCTAAGGAAATGATCAATCTGACATTTCTCCCACAGCAAGTGTGTATGAAATAATTGTTGTTATTACTACCATTACTTCGTCTTCGTCACACACACACGCGCACACGCGCACACACACACACACACACACACACACACACACAGCAGGCAAATGGTGGAAAAAATGCTTAGAAAAAAAAAGATGATGTTTCAAAAATAAAACTGTACCACGTTATGAATGTACACCTGTGTATATATACAGTATGTGGCCCGTACTCTGTTAGTACGATTTTTCATACTCTAAGATCAAATGGGATGTTTTTTTTTTCTCGTGTCAAAGAAGACCTGTTGCAGACAGATATAGATTAAATAAATGTCAGTTACAGACAGAAAGAAACACCAAACCATTGTCATGGGAACCACATGATTTTTCACCCACTTATGTCAGCATCTTCACATGCAAAACACTGGGAAATTTTTTTTTTTTTTCCCTTTTACACTTGATGTATTTTTAGTTTTCACAAACTTTCTTTGTTATGCACTCTAAAAATAGTCCAATCAAATCACTTTAAATCGCTAATGTAACTGAAGGACCGCTGGACGTTCTTGGTGTCGCAAACTCAAAATCTGATTGGTTACAGAAGCACTTTCATTGCCATTCATTTCAGGCTCCTCAGCGCCCACAACACTGCTTCTAAAGGCCATAGGGCAGATTTATTTGACCCTGGTAACAGATAATGGCTGAAATATGATTGGGTAAAAACTTGAGTACACACTGGCTGCAGGACAACCAAGAGAAAAGCTGAGAATGAGAATGAATGATGAGAACGGAATACTCTGTATTACTGTATAAATATTCATGATAAATATATTGAAATATAAGTCACTGATTCTGGTACTGTTTCGACCAGCAGAGAAGGCCTTAAAATGGAACTGTACGTGTTCTTCTGTGTCGGAATGTGCTTTGTGGGTAATCGTGACAATTCTGTGTCAGTCATCAGGAAGCAGTTTCTGGTCGGACGCCACAGTCACGGCACCTGACTTTTGGAGTACCGTTGCCTCCCGGAACGCCTCATCTCTGGATGGGTGAAGACTGTCTTCTTCTTCTCTTCTCCTCATTGTCTCCGGCCATTGTCAAACTGAGACCACTATCTCAGGCTCCAGACAGTTTCCACTTCTCCAGAGGATTTTGGTAATGAATGACTTGCAGCCTCATCTGCTCCTCCTGCTCCTCATAACAGTACCTTTGCTATCTCTTCTCTACAGATGCTGGGCAATCAGAAAAGTCACAACGGTTTCTCAAACCCGACTTAGGTCCTCTCCTTCTGAGTGTCACTGACATCAAGCTCGCTGTCCTTGCTGCCAGAAGGGGGAGACCCTAACAGTACTATCACATTTATTCCTACCCACGTAAAAATGTGGATTCACTTCCTGTAAATATTGGTGCAGAGTTTTGACTATTGCCATAATAAGCAGTTGTTTAAGTTGAATATTTAATGCACATGTCAAACTCAAGGCCCGGGGAACAAGTCTTTTTAATATAATAAAATATAATATAATATCATATAATATAATAATAAACAACTTAACATATCCACCAAAAATGCGCATATTTACAGTTGAAAGGATTTTGGCAAAATCCTTGCACTGCTCCTTTAAACACATTGCCTTTAAATTTTTATTGAAGAAAGGTGTAAATATCTAAAGAGATAGTATAATACCTGTAAATTGGTTTATTGCCTGAAAACAACAGCGTGTCATTGAGGATTAATAGTTATGATGTTTACGTAATCAGCAGAGCTAACGGGAAGGGAGAGGGTGCAGCCTCCGTGTGGGTAATTACCTGAAATGTTTACGTGTGTTTGGAAGAAACTACAGTGAAATGAGGAACAGAGTTAGATGGTGACGTAACAGCGAAACGCCTTAGCTCAAGGAACGTCATAAACTAAGGACCGAGTTAGATGGTGACGTAACAGCGAAACACTCAAGGAACGTCATAAATTAAGGACCCCTAGAAACTCCTAGAAAGTGTCAGGAATGTGGAAACAATGTTGACAGTATTAGCAAATACAGACCAGTACCGTTGCTTGTTTAAATTTCGAAAGTACTAGAAGAATTTTTTTTTTCAAAACTCTCAGCAGTTCCATCACTAACGAAAGTAATTGAAGACGTCACAACAGCAACCGACTGAAGTAATTACGCAGTAAGAGTTCAACATTCTTTTAAAGAAGGCTTTGGATACAATGGGTCATTAAGTTAGTTGAAATAATTTGGAATAAATGTAGAATTGGTTGAGAGAATTTTTTTTTTTTAGATTATAAACATCTGATTTAACAGAGCCACACAAACAGACCTGGGTGTTTCATGGGCTGGGATTTTTTTTCTTGCCTCTTAACTGCTGGACTTTGCCCTGATGTCAGAGTTTCCAGACTTTGTCTTTTATTATTTCTGATAAGGCTGGCGAACAAGGAGGAGGAAGACAACAACCATTTAAAACAAGTTCTACATCGGCACGAACCTACAGGTTGTTTCTGGAGAACAGCAAAAGAGGTAAGTGATGTTTACAGTATCTTTCACTTTGCCTGAAGACCTCTTTTACATTTATAAAAATCTATTTTTGAAACAACTCATGTCGTTCATGTACAATTCAGCAGTGAAAACTTAACAGCTTAGCACCTAACACTGTTTCCATTTGGCCTTAGCATTTTTACATTGTTAGGATTTTTTTTTTCGGTTTGAATGCTTCATATCTTTATCTTTATAGCTACGACACAACTTCAGCGCTCTGTTTGATGGTTCCTATATTTGTTTATCTGTTTTTTTTGTTTTAACCTTGCAAACGTTGTTTTTACTTTCACAAGGATTTGTTTTTGCCATTTGCCTTTCGTCAAATGTTTTGCTTCCTTATTCGGAGTTGAACCCACACCTGCAGTATTTGCGGGAATGTAGACCTACAGCACCAATTAAACATAGGTGATATAGAGACTGACTAAAGAGCATTTATGATATCTTGCTATTAGTGCCATGCGATTACGACTATATTTTTATTGCCCCTACTGACAAGGAAATTTTTTTTTTTTTAACTCCACAAACAACAAACAGATATTCTTTTGACACTTCATGACCACATGATTCCTGTTCATTTTTTTCCTGTTTTTTTTTCCAGTGTTGTATCATAAGCAAGGTATTGTTGATTACAGCAGGACTGATCTCAGTGAAAAGTTTTTTTCACTGAGATCCTTAAAGAGAAAAACAGAGACTTGGATGTATCCACATACACAAAATAAATAGAATTTAAATACATTCTAGATGCCAGTGCAACTAACATAGAACAAAACCTTCTGGAATAAGTGAAAGGAAACATGATCTGAACTGATCAGCAATGCTAGTAAAGCTAGTAGGACAGATGTTGGTTTATATAGCAAAAAGGGCCAAAAATGAGCTAAATTATCAAACTTAAAAAAAAAATTCCTCCAAGAACCCCAAAAACATTACCAAAAACTATTTTGGAAACTTGATTAAAAACCAGGCCAAAACTTTTCCTTTTGTGACCCGATCCAAACAGGAAGCAGATATGGCGCACGTTAATGATCAGCTGGTGCCAATTCTGGAGGACTTGAAGGACGATGATTTCAGACGCTTCAAGTTTCATCTGCATAAGTTGGAGGATAACCTTCAGCGGATCCCACTGTACCGTCTTGAGTCAGCAGACCGGCTGGAAACAGCAATTTTGATGGGGCAGTATTACCCAGATCAGGTTTTGGAAGTGACCCAGGCTGTTCTCAAAAAGATCCCTAGGTTGGACCTGGTGCAGGCTTTGTGTAACAACAGCCTTAAACCAAACGGTAAGCTATAGAAAGAAGATTTGCAAATGACTCACTTCAGAATAATCTGATCTAATAAAGTGAACTAAATTTCCATTTCCCTTTCCCTGTGTGTAGAGATCTATGTCAATGTTATAACACCTCCAGCAATTCATACGTTTGACCCTCTGCTCAACACTAGTGGATATGAAGGTACAGTAAAGCTATTCTTTGAGAGCTGTTGCTGTTGTAAATAATGTATTTGTATTGAAAGCTTTGGCTTAAAAATAGTAATGGGAGCTTTAGGGTCCTAATCGAACCAAGAGTTTGTTAAAACTTTAATCAATTTCATCTGAGGTAAATCAACTTCACTGGGATTTATGAAGATCCCATAGACCCTCATTTTGCCGGTATACCAGGTTTTGACTCTAATCCTTTGCATTGAAACTAAGTAACTACGATCAAACTCATTGCGATTTAAAAAATGTACTCATCATCTGACTTTGTTCCCGCTAAACGCAGAGTTCCCTGAACAGGATCCAGATCAAGATCCAGACGTCGTCATGCACCAGGGCCAGCTCCAGTCCTACCTCAAAGATTGCTTCGTGGTGGTTAAAGAAGGCATGTCAGAGAAAAATAAAGCAGAGTGTCTAGACGACATTTTTGTGGAGCTCTTCCTCACAGATGGAGGTGATATAGAAATCAATGAGCAGCATGAGATAGACTGGAGTGGAAGCGCAAAAGCCAAGATGGCAGATGCAGAGAAGCTAATTAACCCCAACAAGATATTCCAAAGTCCCAATGACAAACCGATACGAACAGTGCTGACGGCAGGAATTGCAGGAATTGGCAAAACCATCCTTGTTAAAAAGTTTGTCTTGGACTGGGCCAACGGGAGGCAAAATCAGGATATACATTTTTTATTTCCTTTCGGCTTTAGTGAACTCAATTTGCTGAAGGACAAGCATTTGACTTTTGCCCAACTTGTCTATGAGAGCATCTGGGAAACAAAAGGCATCCCAAAGGAATACCTCCAAAAGGTTTTCACAGAACTCCAAGCCTCGGGATGTCGAGATTACAAAAATAAAAACAATAAATATAAAATCCTGTTTGTGTTGGATGGACTGGATGAAAGTCGCCTTCAGCTGGACTTAACTCAAAGCAAAAAGCCATTAGTGCCCTTCGATGTAACACAGTCTGCGTCAGTGGAGGTCCTGCTGTCAGCTCTAATTCGTGGAGAACTACTTCCATCTGCACGTATTTGGATCAGCACTCGGCCAGGTGCTGTCAAACTGATCAATGGTGACTTTGTCCAAAGAAAGACGCTAGTCAGAGGGTTTAACGATCCACAAAAAGAGGAGTACTTCGAGAAGAAATTCCCAGACAGAAATCAGGCCGACACAATAATCTCCCACATCAAGGCTTCACGAACTCTATTCATTATGTGTCACATTCCAGTCTTCTGTTGGATCACCTCTATTGTTCTGAAAGAGGTTCTGAAGAAGAAAGCAAATATGGAACTACCAACAACATTAACGGAAATGTACTCCGAGTTCCTGATGTATCAGATCACATCCACAGGAGAAAAATGTGGCAAGAAACAGAGCATTCGCTACATCAAGTCATTAGCAAAACTAGCTTTCGTTAAACTGAATGAAGGTAACCTCTTCTACGAGAAAGACCTAAAAGACAGTGGCATTAAAAGCCATAAAGCCTCGTTGTACGTGGATGTGTTGACGGAGGTTTTCGAGGAGGTGCACAGGTGGAGAGACGACGATGCTCCCAAAAAATACAGCTTTGTCCATTTGAGCCTAATGGAGTATCTGGCTGCACTTCATGTGGTGATGTCTCTCATTAACAAAAACAGGAACGTTCTGTCCTCAAAGCTGGATCTGGAAAGGCTGTTCAAGCCGTGTGTGAAGAAATCTTTGACAGAAGTTCACACGATTGCAATTCAGAACGCCTTACAAAGTTCTAATGGACAACTTGACTTGTTCCTGAGGTTCCTGTTGGGTCTTTCTCTCCAGAGCAGTCAGGTCGTCCTTAAACCCCTGTTGAAGGGTTTCAAAGGGCAGACTCAGAACAATTACCAGGAAACCATTGAATCCATCCAGACAGGAATAAGAGAGAATACCTCTACTGAGAGAACATTCAATCTCTTTTACTGCCTCAATGAGCTGAAAGAAAATTCCTTAGTAAATGAAATCCAACAATATCTAAACCCAGAAATTCTTCCCTCGAGCAACCTCACACCTCTCAACTGGCAAGCTCTGGTATTCTTTTTAGTATCGTCAGAAAAAACAGTGAATGAATTTGACTTGAGAAAATACTGCCCCACAGAGGAAGGTCTCTTCAGACTGTTGCCAGTGGTGAAGGCTTCCAAAAAATCATTGTAAGTACAAAATCACATCATTGACTCTATCAAACTGCAGAATGTATCCACTAACTACAGCTGGTGCTCACTTAATGATGATTTCATTAAACGATGACTCAGAGTTACGACAGGTGCAAAATGCACTGGCAGCGGGGTTGTGACTAAGCATGTACATACATGAGGGAGTTAAGAAGGTCCAATCGATCGCTAACAGTTATGGCTTCTCATCAACAGTCCTTTGTAGGTCCAGGGGGTTTTGTTGAACGACGAAATTGTTCAACGGTGGGGTCTTCGGAACGTAACTTTGTCGTTAAGTGAGGACCAGCTGTACACTCATTTTATGTAACTCCTCAGGTTGGTCAGCTGCAAACTGTCCCAGACTGTTTGTTTAGCCCTGGCAGAGGTTCTTTGCTCTGAGTCTTCCATACTGACGGAGTTGGACCTAAGTGACAATGAACTGAAAGACGCAGGAGCAAAGCGCCTAAGTTCTGGACTGCGGAAAGGAACTTGTGCCCTTAAAGTTCTCCGGTAAGTTGAGTAATGCCCACGGTGGTGAAGTAATAATAAGAACTTTGCTGTTCAATAAGACTTTTGACCTGATGCTTTACCCTCCCAGCTTGAGAATAAAATGCACTCATAATTCAGTCATTGTTTTCTTCTCTGTATTAAGACTTTCAGGGTGCATGATCTCAGCTGATGGATGTAAAGTTCTGGCTTTAGCTCTGAAGGCCAACCCCTCCAACCTAAGAGAGCTGGACTTGAGCTTCAACCATCCAGGAGAGTCAGTGAAAAAAATGCTGATGGATTTGAAGAAAGACCCAAACTGTCAACTGGATATCCTCAAGTACAAGACGCACTAGTAGTTTATCACTAAATTAGACATTCCTGAGGTGACGTAAAATATATAACTCTGTTCTGCTTTTTAGGCTCAACAACTGTGGACAAGAACGACTAAAGGCTGGTGTTAAGAAATGTAAGTTTTCTAAAATCAACAAGTCATATCGTTAGAGTAATTAGTGGAATCATTAGCACAGGCGTATCAAGTTAAGATCAATTAAAGATAATTAATAGAGACGCATCAGAACGAATATTCTTAGCCAAAACCACACAACCTCACAATAGTGTATCAAAACAACAAAAGATTGTTGTGGGTCACAAATTTTGTGCTTCGCCATCTCTAATCAGGATATCCGCACCCAATGCGGCTTGGATCATCGGATCTGAAATACAGATGATCCGATTAGTGTTGGGTGCGGTTTTTGCTTGTGTCACCACAACAAACAAAACTGTTTCGGCTGTGTTGTGTCTGTGATAAAAGTCTTTCAGTTGAAACACGAAAATGGGGCATTTTCTGCAAAGATTTTTGATGGCCAAATATTCATTGCATCCCTAATCATTTTTTACTTTTTTACGCTGCTTGTTAGTATTTATATGACCTTGCCTTTTTTTGTCCCTCAGATTTTTGCAAACTTGTCCTTGACCAAAACACAGCCCACACAAACATGAAACTGTCCGACGGGAACACAGTTGTGACAGCTGTTGAAGAGAAGTTGCTGTATTTTTATCATCTAGACAGATTTGACTGTTGGCTTCAGGTGCTGGGCGACACTGGACTGAATGGACGCTCTTACTGGGAGGTATCGTGGAAAGGTAGTGCTCACATTGGCGTAACATATAAAGGGATAATAAGAAAGGGACAGGGTGCGGACATTGGCCTTGGGTCCAATGATCACTCCTGGGCACTGCTGTGCCAGGGAAAAGAAAGCTACTCTATCCAGCATGAAAATGAAGTTAAACCCATTAACCCCCCCGCATCCCCTGCAACCCAAAAAGTGGCAGTTTTTCTGGACTTTCCAGCGGGAACTCTGACCTTTTACAAAGTTGGCTATCATAAGCTGATCCCGCTTCACACGTTCACGTCTGAATTTACAGAACCACTCTACCCAGCCTTTGGTTTTGGGGTTGACTATTCTTCCATAAAGTTTGGATCATCAGTATCTCTCCCTGAAGCTTCAAAAGACATGTTTTAGATGGAGGGATGATGGGACAGATCGATGGACCTTTAGAAATGATGGACCTTGATAAGTTTGGATTGCACTTGTTGGCACTTATTTATCCCGCAATGGGGAAATTCACAGTGTGAGTCTTTGCAACCGACACAGGCTGCCACACGAGGCGCCATTAAGTATGTGGTTGCAACTCACAGTTTACCACAATGGAATCGCTGCTAAACATTGTTGCCCGTAAACATTTCTGGCCCAAACTTTCATCTCTACTTATACTCAAGTCCACATGGACACTTTGTGCCATTTGGATTTTTTCCTTTAATTTGGACAGAATCTAAAAATCTTGGACTAAATGGTGGTTTTAATGTTGACTGGATCCTTCCTTCTTATTGTTCTCTGTTTTTTTTTTTTGTCGAGATTTTTGGGACATTTCACCCTGTCATAATTTCTTTGGAAGATTTCTAGGGCTCCTTATCCAGGGGAGAGCTCTCAGGAACGGACCAAGTTGCAAAGGATATACGTTTGCAAAACACGTTAGAATTGCGTCACTGAAGTAATATAGGAGTAGAGGATGCAAAACGCAAACTTTCAAGTGGCATCCCTACTGCATACAACTAAAGATTTCTTTGTGTACATATCTACAACAACACAACAATACAAAGAACAATATTGAGAAGCTACCTGGGACAGACCTTTCTAAGGCCTAACCGCTAACTATTGGCCAAGCTAAATCTGTCACTCTTGAACTCTTCACTCACGGTTAGTTAAGCGAGAATTTTTTTTTTTTTTTTTTACCGCAGTGTTCTTTTCATCACCCCTTAACTAACCCAGTGTGTTGTGTACTGTATGTAGGTTGCAGAGAATTAATTAGGCCACAGCAGTGACTAATCTGACTGTTCAAGAGTGGAACTTAATTTTCAATTAATTCATTTGTTTCACACCTGGCTTCGTCGGCACTAACGTAGACTAATTATGTTTTGACTCTTTCCACTGAGCTGTTTTGCAATTATGTAAAAATGAAATTTACCCTCAGGTTTTCTCTCTTTCTCGCTCGGCCATAAATGAAACTGAAATTTCACAAAGGCTGAGACACCATTTATCCCCAGGTTCAGGTGTTGAATGTGTGTCTTTAGATTTTGTTTGATCTTTTACGAATTTAAAAAAAGGAAAAAAAAAAGACATTCGATAAACAATCTCAGCAACATTTAAAGAAAAAAAGGCTTAATCTGCTCATTCCTTCACCTTGATATTCTGAGTCTGTAATCTAACTGCTCACAGCTGCTTAGTCCAGAGGTTCCCAAAGTGGGGGGCGCGGCCCGTAGAGGGGGCACGGTGCCATGAAGGTGGTGTAAAATGAATATCCGATAATAATATTGTGCGATATCCGATAAGTATTATTGGTCGATCTTCTTGGAGCAGCAGTAGTAGCCAAACGGGGCAACGCTAGCATAAAATGACGTTTTTTTTTAACAGTTAGCCCACGTCATCCCCAAAGCAGAGGATTACGCATTGGTGTGTGTGTGTGTATGTGTGTATGTGGCTTGTTTTCTTTTTTGGGTGGGGGGTTTAAAAAGCAGAAAAGGTTTGGGAAACCCTCGTTTAGTGTATGTGTGTGTGCCTGTGTGTGTGTGTGAGAGTGTGTTTTTACTTCAGGGTATATAAGGTTTGATTTGTACTGGGACTGTGCAGCTTTCAGTTTCTCTCAATGTCACAGGCAGTGTGTGTATGTGTGTGTGTGTGTATGTGTGTGTGTGTGTGTGTGTGTGTGTGTAATAAAGGTTTCATGTCAGGTTATAATCCTGTCAGGCTCAGAAACCTGAACTGACGTGTACAAGATGGAGGAGGAGAGAGAGAGAGAGAGAGAGACAGACAGTCAGAGAGAGAGAGTGAGTGAGTGACAGGTTCTCTTTTTCGCTTAAGGGGGGTTACTATGGTAACGTGCCTCCCTCTTTCTCTATGTTGCCATGGATGCGAGTCGGAAAACGACTTTTGCCTCTGTGCCTGCGAGCAAATGTGCCCCAGGATGTACAGGAACTAAGCTAAAAAAATATTTATAGAATTTTTTTTTTTTTAACCAAACGAAAATAAAAAAGTTGTTAGTTGAAAAGAGACATTATACGGTTTAGAAATAAATGAAATAAATGTTGTTTAAATGTGATTTTTTATTTTTCCATTTGTTTGTTTTTTTTTTCCTCTTCGTGGTGATTGGCTAGTAAATACCTGCCACTTCTTAAAGTTATTTATTGTAGAACGGAACGTTTCTTGTCATTCGTTAGTTTTCACATGTTACATTTATACCTTGTTTTTTGACTTAAAGGTTTGTATTTAAATGTTTTTGTTGTTCTTATTATAATGTTTTATGAGACATTTTCAAAAATACATTTACATTTCATATAAAGTGACCAGTTAAAGCTTAAAGAAACCTAAATTTCAAACTGAAACGAGACAAAAAAAAGTAAGAAAAAGGGAAAAAAAAAACACCTTAAAAAAGGAAAATGATCAAATTGTTACATTGTTGAAGTCATGCTATCTATATGAACATTCAGGAGCCACTTTATTCATGCCTAGAACAACATTTGATTAACCAAGAAATGAGTTAGCAGATGAGCTGTTCATAAAAATGGTTTAGTTCATGCTAAGTGACCAGCATTTGGGAATAAAAGAGCTAATTAAAGAAATGTGCTAAAGAAAAAAAAAACATGGAGAAAAGCGTTAGAAAAATTCTCGTGTCTGTAATGACCACTTTTCCGACTCACATCCTAATAAAAGGTTTGGTGGGACAGAAAATGAAACCTCTTCTGCTGCAGTGTGTGTGTGTGAGTGAGTGAGAGAGAGACAGATATTTCCATATCAATGGTTTTGCTGTTGAAAGCTTCCACCCACACGCTGCTCTTGCTTTCTGTTGAGACGTTAATTGTAGCTGATTATGAGGCCAACACAGTTATCAAGACACAGAAACACACAACCTCACACGGTGAGCAGTTCGGTCTCTGGTTTTCCGTGTCTTTTTTACATTACATTCATTTTGTTATAAACTTTCAGTCCCTTTTTCTATTTTGTATGTAGTTATTCGTATTAACCACTACTCTGAGACACTGTTCACAGCTAAAGAGTGTTAAAGAAACATTTGGTGGTGATTGATGGTTTTTATGTTAGATTAAGAGCAGTTAAAACAGGCCGGTCAAACACAGGGGTGTGGGATGAACACGACAGGAGGGTTGAGGCAAATTGAGGTAGGGGGTATTTTTAGTCATTTTTGAGAA